GGGAGACACTCTACAATTTTAAAAATTCAACCTAGTCCTTCAATCCTTCTATTACCTGAGTCTGACTTGAGAACACAGCTGTACAGGTGTACTCTATTCTGGCACTAGCTGTGTCCAGAAAATCTACTTGCCCAAACTTACCTGATATATGAATGCTCCCACAGGCCCTAAACCAATTTCTCTACAAGGACCTTCTTTCATGAGCACACAAGGGCTGTATAAAATTTTAGGGTCAATGGGTCCCACGAAGCCCAAGTGGACCAACAGAAACAACCAGCAACACAACAATAGTCAGCATGTACTAATAGCATGTACTAAGTGCTCACTGTGTACCACACACTGTGCTATTCATTCTGCATACCTTGTACCCCAAGCTGTCTCCATTGCTATGAGAGCCAGGCATTATTACCCTATGGCACAGAGCTCAAAGATGCTAGAAGGGCAAAGTGACCCAACCAAGAGCACCAGCTGACAAATGAGAGAAACCAAGATTAAACCTGTGCTCTCAACCACTCAACTATATGGCTCTTCCCTGCTTTCTTTCCTCCAGGGAAGACGTGCATACATGGGAGATCAGTGACTACAGTCTGCCTACAGTGACCCCCCATCTCTTTTCCAGGATAAAGTTTCAGATAATTGAACTGTTCTTAGGAGATTGCTAGTCCTTTAGCCATACTATTCAAGGAATATACTATTCAAGGTCCTTTGAGCATGCTTAGGGTAGTTACTGTCCTAAAAACTGAATAGGTGGGTATGATTATCCAGAGAAGAATTTAAATAATGACTCTGAGCCCAAGAGTTAAGCTACTATATCCAAGAGGCATCATCTTCTTAGGGTCATTCCTTAGGATCTACTGCTTCTTCCTACGCAACTAAAATAGCTGATTTATTTCCATGTTTCTTATTATATTCATTTATCCTTACTTCCATTCTTTATTTTGTTCACCTCTCTTTTATACATGTGGAAACTAAAGCTTAGAGAGGAAAACAGACATAGGTAGGGTCACCCAGATCCCAGATCGCTGAGCAAGGATTCGAACCCAGGTCTGAGAGACTCCACCATGAAACACGTGCCCTGATTCAAAACTCCCAAGAGCTCGAGCAGTCTGAGCACTCCAAAAGACAAACTTCTCATTAAGCTGAAAGTGAAACTGCCTAAGTTTCTCATTCCGCACCATATGGCTGAATCCCAGCTGACAGGAAGCTCGTTGCTGCAAAACACTAGGCTCGTTTCACTGAGTAGGCTGATGTGGGATTTGTGAGGCGGTCACTTCCTAATCTTCTCAGCACTGGTCTTCATCATGATGCTTTCTTCCTATGTTTTTACATAAAAAAGCAAATGCTCCTAATGATGGAGACAGATTTTATCCTAAATCGTCTCTAAGAGACACATCACAAGCATAAGCAACAACAATGAAAACATCCACCTGCCTTGAGGAGACCAAAAATGACAATAATCTTGCAGCCCTTAGTCTACATGGAGGTGGGGTGGGTGGAGGAAAGTTCTTAAGTGAGTATAGAGTTTCGTACACTAAGATTCAACCAAAGTGTCGGGACACCTACAATTACCCCGTATCTTTGCAGAGTCAGATTTTAAAGCAGCAGGTTGATTCATGAAGCACTGAGAAACTAGTGGGAAGTGCCAAACACCATTTGTACAAAAGGATCTTGGCCTGAGATACCATCACTCCTTCCCCTGGGCAATTACTTTACAGCTGGGAGAGCAAAGTAGTCCTGAACAAGAGAACAGTCGGGAGTTTGTGTGTGTTTTATTAAACCCCCAAACCTAGAATTAACATGAAAAGTACCATTTCTACAAATAATAGGCAAGGACATTAACTGTGAGAGTTGGAAAGGGTCTTAGAACTACCATATTACACTCAGTTAAGTGCACTGAGGCTGCAGTCCATAGGCAAGGATTTGAACTTGATCTTGGGCCAGTTTCTTCCCTTTTTCAAGCCTTAGTTTACTCATCTGAAAATGGGATACATTTCAGGAGGCAGCAAAGTATAGTGCTTTAAAGTGAAGCAGTCTGCATTCGGAACACCTGGCTGGGAATTCTGGGTCTCACCCTTTACTGTGCATGGCTCAGTTATGTCATCTGTAAAATGAGGGTGATAAAACTGGTGCCTACCTCACAGGGTGTTGGCGACATGTACATGTAATAGCGTGTATAAAGCATGGGACCCGGATCACAACCAGTGGTCAGCAGACTTCATTTTTTAAATACTATCCACTTAAGAGGTTTTAAAAACAAGCACTAAGAGGTAGTACGTAGGGGGGCATAGGAGGGAGAGAATGAAACTACACATCCGTGACTCCAATCTCTAACCTCTGCCCCTCCAAAGCCCCACCCACAACCCAGGGCAGTGCTGGCTTTTTATATATTTCATTTTTGGGGGTTTGGCATATAATTTTATTTTTAAAATTATAAATTATGCTGAATTAAAAGAAATTGTTTTTGGAAACTTTTGCTCTAGACAACTCTGGTGTTACACAGATAGGAAAAAGAAAGGGCAAAGGGTGCTGTTCCAGTTCATCCCACAGGGGGCACCTGACCAGGGATTAGCCGTCCCACGTGCTCTGCCTCTGCACCCCGAATTCTCACTTCCATGGAGCCCCGGCAGGGTGGACACTTCCACCTTATGATTCTGCTGAGCCTGATGTTGGTCAGGATGATGCTGAAGCTTTGAGACCGACAGGGGAGCATAATAGGGCCAGTAATAGTCATAGGGAATTCAGGGTCACATACAGGTGGGAGAGTGAGAGGGTGGGATAATTGACGGGGAGGAAGAGGGAGGGGAGAGAGAGACACAGACAGGTTAAGCTGATTGACTGAGGGCAGAGGCGATGACCAGGAGGAGGTCAGCAGTCATGGAGAAGAAAGGAGATGCTTAGTGAAACTAATGATTCCAAGAACAAACAAATTTCCAACTAGCACTTAGTGAACACTTATTTGTTAGCCAACTCACTCCCCACTTTACATAGGTTATTTCATTCCATCCTTCCAATGATTTTATAAGGTAGATACTTCTATTAACCCTCCCCCAATTTTATAGATGAACAGACACAGGCACAGAGAGGTTAGGTAACTTGCTTAAAGACACACAGCTAAGTGAAGGATAGAGATGGGTTAAAATCATAGTGGGTTAATTTCTGAGTTTTTAACCACTACATTTCAGAGACTCTTAGGGATCAATGGAAGGAAAACTAGTATTAGCATTATTAATAGAAGCAGTAGCATGAGTATTAGTAGCAGCAGCTACTGTTGACTGAGTACTGTTTTATGATAGGCACTGTGATAAGTACATATAACGTGATCCCACTTAACCATCAGGGCAACTTGAGACGGTAGATGTTCTTACTCCAGTTGAACAGAAAGGAAAACTGGCTAGGTTGTCGGTAACTTGCCCAACCTCACAGAGCTAACAGGTGACAGAGCAGGGATTATAATCCAGGTCAGCCCCAGCACCAGAGCTCTTACACCACCATTCTAGATCATGTTAACACTAATTTCCAGTGTTCTCAGATTCAACACCTCCAACCATGGGAACCACAGAAATTTCTGCAAAGGTTTTTACACATTCTTGGGTGCTTCCACCAGAGGTTCTACTTTAGTAAGTCATGGTTGGGTCTATGAATCTAAACTTTTCAGAAATTACCTGAGTGATTTAAAAAAATTTTTTCTAATAAGACTAAATTCATTCAATAACCTGGTAAAAGTTCTGATAAGTACCCAGCAGTATAAAAAGTACAAAACAGATACGTCAATTTCTAATATAATGATGACATACGGTACATCCTACAGCAAAGAGATGAAAGGGGCAAAAGAAGACTGGTTGAAGTCTCATGATATAAAAATAAATACAGAAGCAGAGGTGAACCATACTATAGTATATTCTACCACCAATGCTACAGCCAGAAGGTACCAAAAAAGGAAACATTTCCATATAATTCAGGAGGAAGATGGGAAATGGCTGGAACTCTTGCAACACACCTGGAAGGCTGTAGGAGAGCCGCCCAACTCACCGTGCCACCTGCATATCGTGGCTTGTAGTCTTTTCCAAAAGGAAGACATATAAAATTTTAAGTTTAGATTAAGAACTACACAACTACAGGGTTCCCAGTAAAAGTGGCTCATTCCTTATTGTTATTTATATGATCCAATTTTAAAATCCAATTTAAAAAATAAGCACTGAGTCACATTATTACAAGATAGGCAACTGATCCCCGCACATCACGAAAATCTGAACTCGTCATATATTTTCCCCAAACTTTTAAAAAAGAGGCAATGAGAGTACTCTGGTTTGGGTTCAAGTAACAGGCTTTCATAAAGATTTTAGAATTGAAGGGCTCCGTGTTTGGGATTTATTCCCTAACATCTCAATGTTCAGAAAGCCTGACTACAAAGAAGCCAAACCCAAACCAGCCCACTCAGGATTAACATACCTCTTTTCTTTTATTACATCTTTTATTACTTCAATATAGAGTGGGAAAAACAACAACACACCCCAAACTCTAATGGGTTAAAGAAGTCAAACAATCACTCTATACAGATAAAACCTTCACAAAGGCCAACTGAAGTGATCCGGAGCTAAAATGCAACTGTGCAGATTTTCAGTGAAGTCACCGGTTATGTAACACAGACAGACACAGGCGATTCTTAAGTTACACTCAGGTTTGGTAACCGCTCTACCACGCATACAGGTCTTGACTGCTTCTAGAGATTGTCCGTTGTGAGGACTGGATGTGCTCTATTGTACTTCCTGGCGTGAGCACACATCCCACCCAAAGCTCAGGGTTGGCAGATGTGCCACTAATGCTACAGCCACCAATGACTTGAGATATTTTCACCAGGAACTAGGTTCTGTGGTGGGGAATTCGGCCACCTTGATTTAAGAGAATCTAGGTAATTGGCCTCAACCTGTTTTCTAGACATCTCTTCACTCTTTTTCCAAAATGTACACAGTAGCGTCAGACCAATGAGAAAGTTTCCTTACCTAAAACTCGCAATCTCTCAGCTCCGACTACCACTTCACTGTTATCTGCAGAGAAGAGCAACTTTCCAGAAACTGTCTTTACTTCAAACCTTTGGCCATATACTTCTACGGCCTTTGGACCTGGAAGGGATAGAAGGAGAATGCATTAGTCTCATTGCATTCAGTTACAAAGAGCTTTTCATAGACCTTTTCACAGAGCGTCTACATCTGAAGGATTGCATTGGACTTTCATGTAAGTGGATTGGTTTTCAGACACCAACCATGAAAGTCAGTCTCCTGACCTTAGCTTGTCAAGTACCTTTCACCATGTGCTCTTGGGCTATGGTTATTTATTTATTTATTTATTTATTTATTATTCTTGCCCGAGGATACTTTTTCCATTGATTCTTTTAGAGATAGTAGAGGGGAGGGAGGAGGAGGGAGAGAAAAAGAGAGAAACATCCATGTGAAAGAGATTGGTTGCCTCCTGCACGCACCCCAACCAGGGCCGGGGATCAAGCCTGCAACAGAGGTACCTGCCCTTGACGGGGAATTGAACCCATGACCCTTTGTTTCTCCGGCCAATGCTATAACCACTGAGCCAAACCAGCCAGGGCTCAGGCTATGATTTTAAAGGCCATTATGTCCTTCCTCCAAACTAATGCTTGAATGAGATGTCCCTCGGTGTAATCACCAAATTACTATCAAATGCTTGTAGGCTCTGGCTTGAACATGTCAAGGCACGGAAGGCTCACACTGGAAGCAACCAGCTTACCTGTGGCCAGCTCTGAATGATGTAAAGGGTGCTTTCAGTTCAGCTGAGATTTGACTCATGCCGTACCCTTGACCCACTGGCTGCATTTGACACCAGCCAACTCTATTTCCTTAGTATATAGATCACTCCCTGGCAGGAAAGGTTATAATATCTTGCAATTACTTGCTTAGGAAGTTGTTGAATCTTTTTGCTAGCATTTCATTCCATAAAAAATAAATTTCAGAGCATTTATCATAGGACAACAGATATTATTCTTGAAGGTGGGGCTACAGCTGCATAAAAGGACAAGGCCCCTGATCCCATAGCACTTCTAATGGAGACAGACGGATATAAGTTAAACATTAATAAATAAATAGCTGCAGGGAGTTTGGGTACCATGGAAAAGACAACAACCAGTTAATGTGTTAGAATTCCTAAAAAAACAAAACAGAAAGGAGACATTTCAGTCTGTCTGAGCTAGAGCTACCTGAATACATGAAGTTCATCAAATAACCCAGAGTGTCCTCAACCTCACTGAATCCAGCTCAATTAAAAGGAATTTATCCTTTGGTCTGGAAATTCACACAGAAAAAAAATTTTGAGGTTAGGGTCCAGAAATCGTATATTTAACCAGAATTTTCCAGGAGAATCTGATGTGGAATTTTTGCTTCCTTCTAGTTATTCATAAAAATATAGTAATAGAAGAGTCCTCATGCTGGCTTGCGTGGCTCAGTGGTTGAGCATCAACCTATGATCCAGGAGATTGTGGTTTGATTTCCAGTCAGGGCACATGCCTGGGTTGTGGGCTCAGTCCCCACTGGGGGCTGTGCAGGAGACAGTTGATCAATGACTCTCTCATCATTGATGTTTCTCTCTCTCTCTCTCCCTCTCCCTTCCTCTCTCTAAAATCAATAAAAACATATTTTAAAAAAAGTGTCCTCATGCCTTCCAGGCAAAAATGGCCAGGAACACATGTGTAGTTGAACAAGTTGGTTTCAGTACTCCTTGCTAGGAGGGAGACACACACCAGGGGAGCCACACGAGACATGCTGTGATAAGGAAGGACTTATTATACCATATTTGATCTTATAGTAGGTTTTTTTGGGCTTAAGGAAGCAAGACTTCACTTGGAATTAGATGCTGTCAGAAAGTGGCAGTAACTTTATGATTGGTATCTTGATAAATCTTTTCTAGAAGTAGAGAAGACCAGAGCAATGCTAAAGCTGCAATGAGTAAAGCAGCAACAGTCATATCAGCTAGGAGAGAGGAATGTCTGGTCATTTTTGTGGCTGGTGTAAAGGTTTTCATTCTGTCTGAGCTGTCTTTGTTCCATGTTTATCCTTCATGGCCACCGAGTGGCCTTGTCCGGTGTTGATGTTCTGTGAAATTATTTATGGTTCAATGGGAGAACACCACGTCTTGGCTGATAGTTCCCTGCCAGCCCCTGAATGTCTGGGGCTGCTTTCCTCTCTATCAAGGCTATCAGTCTAAAAACCAGAAGACAAGAATTATGTCTCCACTCAATTTCTGATAATGTGACTTCAGGCAAATCATTCAATCTTTCTGAACCTCATTTTCTGCATCTGTAAAATTGTACCAGCAACCTATTCTATCGATCCCATAGGAAGGTTAAAATGATCAGATTATGCTGTTTATAAAAATAACTTTGTAGGCAAAAAATACTATGAAATGTAGGGGAATTGTTCCTGTGATTGTCATTCATTGTTGTGATCATGGCCATCAGCATTATTCTAATACAGCGGTCACAACACACTGAAATGAATTATGAGAACCTTTAAGGCAGATGCCTCATTCACATGATCATGTGAACTTGGCAGACCTGATCTCTTGCCAGAACATCCACATTAGCCCTCTGATAAAAATAAGAACATTGGAAAAGCTTCTTAATGAGTGGGGAACTGACATAGCAGACACAGCCCAGAATTTCCCAATGACATAGGGCCTGGACATTGTCTCCTCTGACTGCCTTCATGCTGCTGGTGAGAAGAGCAAGTGGCAGGAAGGTTGAGAGCTCTCTCCAGGTCATTGGGTGAGCTAACGGCAGATCTGGGTTTGGAGCTGAGCTTTCATAATTGTTCCACAGAAGAAAAGGGATGTTTACTCATCCAGGAAGGAGAAGGGGTCTGGAGTCAACATGAGGAGCAGATAGAAAAGGAGCTTTTGGGAGATGAGGGAAAGAGGGAAGCTGGAGACAAGGACCAGAGAGAGATCCTGAGAGAACAGAGATGGACAGGAGGGCAAACTTTGGAATTGTGGTCCTGGGAGGGCTAAGATGTGGCTTCCTTCTTGGTGACAGCCAAACCTGTATTACTTGTCAGTGCTTTGGGGCTGTTATCATTTTTAGGGGGTTGATTCTGGATCAGGAGGTAAAGCAGTCCTGATGAATAAGTGAATGACCTCGGGATGGGCACAGGTGAGCCCACTTTGCCCACTGGCAAAGAGGTGGCATGACTAGGGACACAAGTACTTGGACTTTGCCTCCATGAGCCCAGGCAATCACATGAGACACGGCCCCTGTGGAGCTGAGAACACCTGCCTCTGTGTAACCCGAGTTTACGCCGAATTTATGAAAGGTACGTGATACATACAGGAGTGTACTGAAGAGGCGGCAGCCATCAGAGAACACAAAGCACAATTAAGTTCTCATGCTTTTGGGGACTTCTCAGAATGTAAAATAGAATCTACCAAGGGTGTAGAAAGCTCATTAACTGGTAGTTTTAGCCAAAACCTCACAGAGAGACTGCTGGCTCAACGGTGCAGATGGCTTGTGCTTTTGTCAGTTTCACCTGGGCTGCCAAACCTCCCTGGACATGATGAGATCTGAAACAATGATTCTAGAGCAGCGATTTTCAACCGGTGTGCCATGGCACACGGGTGTGCCGCAAGAATTTGTAACACATGCAATACCTATTTAGTCAGGGGCACTGTCAAATAAAAAAATGACAACAGCCAAACAATAGCTGTCCCATGTGAATGAGTCAAAATTATACCTATTTTTTTGTCATATAGGCAAAACTATATTTTTTGGTGTACTGCAGAATTTTAGTAATTAGTTTATGTGTGCCGTGAGATGGAAAAGGCTGAACATCGCTGTTCTGGAGAGAAATGCAAATGGAATTGGGGATTGACTGCTCAGGAGGCCCCTTGGTGAACCCATTGTTCCTCCCTGGGATAGAAAAAAATCATCGTTTGTAATCTGGAACTAATCTCCAGTTAATCCCTCTCTGAGCAGGGCAGTCTGTGGGAAGTGAAGCTCCTTATCCATTAATCTCCTCGACAGGGAGACCTGGAATCCACCGGGCTGTATCCGCAGTGTTCTAGGCAGGCCAGGCACCAACGCGGGAGCTGCAAAGGCCTGAGGTCTACCCAGCCTACTTCCTCTCCCCAGCTCCCTGGATACTGGGTCCCTTCCCCCTTCTGGCAAGATGCAATGGAAGATCCCCCACAATTTTACTTCTTACAGGTCGGAGGGCTTCTTGTTGGGACCCACTACTGAGCAGACACTAAATCGGCAGCAGTCTGCGTCACAGGTGCATTTGTGGTCTAGCCTGGGAGCTTAACCAGCGCTTAAAACATTGTTTCATGGGACAAGGTTACCTGAATTGCTAATATTGGAATTTCTCCTGGGCTTCTGAGGCATTCTTTAGGTACACAGGGTGATTCTTGAATCCTCTGGGTTGCCTTAGTAAACCTGGTCTCTCGGACGACAGGAGTTATTTGCTCTCGGGTAAGTACACCACCAAGTATAACAGGCTTTAGAAGGAACAGTCTCCTGAAGCCACTCTGTGCCATTGACCATGTGCATAAATGTCCACGGAGAGCCCTGAAGGAAAGCTTTAGGGGTGGGGCGTGTGTGTGCAGGAGAGCTCAGAACTGCGTTTTGAACAGGTCTGCTCTCCTCTTTAGAAATCATCTTGACAGTCTCTTCCTGGCTAGTGTTGGCTTTTTGATCATCTCATGCTCCTATTATCCATCTTGTGACCGGCCTTAAGAGTTAGGGATAGGTGTGCTGGCTCCCAAGACGGCCTGTCTTGGGCAGGGGGCACAGAAAAACAGAAGACAGGGGGAGAGGTAAGAGAGAGGAGAGAACAGAAGAGGGAAAAGGAAGAGAAGTGGGAGACAGGAGGAAGAAAGAGGGGCAGAGAGAGAGAGGAGAGGAAAGAGGAAAGAGGAAAGAGGG